ACAGTTGACAGTGTTCATGGCCATGAAAATAGGAGACGAAATCCTCACATTATCCGCCAGATGGCGCATAAATGTGTTACTCGATACGCGGTGGTGCATTTTGGTTCCTTACCGATTAGAATGGTGGCAAAAAATCAAAATTGGCAACAAATTATTGTCGGCATAGCAGGGCAACCAGCGGCTGGTAGTGCAGTATATGGTGGGTTTGTTTGGACAACCTGGCCCCTGAGGTTAATAAGATACCTGGCCATCGTTTTAATGTCTGACGACATTGCTAATTAAAAAAAAAAAAAGTATATGGTGGGGTAGCCAGTGCAGTTTGTATATCGGTGGCGGTCATGAACCAAAAAGACAAGATCACGCGGGCTGGAGACTAGCCCGTTAGAATCGCATTTAGGAAAAAAGTAGAACGATTTTGACATTAGCCGTTTATTTACATTTCTTCGTTGTTTACAATTTGGTGGTGGCTTTTTACTGCAATTTTCTTCATTTTCGCTTGTGACAACGTGTGTACACATAAGATAAAGAATAATTTAACACAACGGCATGATTTATAGAAGAATTTGCATAATAAAAATGATTTTTCATGCGTTCAACAATTTCGCGGTTTTCTCCGTTCTCTTCGTTGTTTACTTCTTACAACAAAGATGGCGTCGAGATTTCGGCAGCTAGAAAATAACTTTTTTCGTTCTTTCCTTCCCGCGTGATCTTGTGTCTTTCGTTCATGGGTGGCGGCTAAAAACGGGCCTTGACGCAAAATATTACAAATTTACATCATGAAATAAAAAATCATAGACAGTGGGAATAAATATTAGCTTTGTTTCTTAACAGATAATTATACCGAATTATCACTAGCAGAAACTAGCAGCTCTTTCTCGGCAATAATATGGACGGTAAAATAACTTCAAACTTCAAAAGGTTGCCTTTGGTACAACCAACCGAATTCTACGTGTTAAGTGCTTTACGTTGGGTAACCGCTTACACGCAAAGCCCATTTAACAGATACTTAGGGCCGTTTGCTCAAAGCCCCGGTTGACACTAATCATCGGTTAACATAGTTATCGACGTCTTCGACTCCATGCATACAACGTGGATAACTATGTTTAACCGGAGATTAGTGTTAACCAGACATTGAGTAACCGGCACTAATGGCCGGTTGTTCAATCTCTGATTAGCACAAATCGGAGGTGGAAGCTCCGATTAAATACAACGACTGCTTTATCGATCACATATTATATGCATGGTGTCGAAATCGTCGATAATGATGTTTAACCGGCAAGTAGTGATAACCAGACATTAGTTGTGTTTTTTTACAAATTATCCAGTAACTTGCCAGTAACTCTCCAGTAACTTTATTTCTAAGAATTCGCTCTCATAGAAAAAATTTGCAAAAAAGTACGCGAACGCTTTTCCAGTAATAATTTGCAAGTTTCATGAACAGCTGATAAATTGGTTGTTTATTCGCAGCATATTCCCAATAAAACGATATATTTTATATTTAAATATGTTTGTTTTGAAAATTTCCACAATAAAAATCCACAAACAGTTTCCTTATTAGTTTAAATTTCATACAGCAACATGCGATCAGCTGTTTTTCGTACTGGCAAATTCTTACAAGTAAAAATTTATCCAGTAAAATCCAGTAAAAACTTGCAACTTCAGCTGTAATTTTTCGCTCTCTCAATTTCCCCTACTTTGCAAGTTTTTGCGTACGAAAACGCCAAAACATGAAAATTCGTAAAAACTTTTACTGGATTTTACTGGAAATGAGTAAAAAAACGCAACTATTGAACAACCGGCCCTTAGTATGCATAACTGGGCTCTTAATAGATTCCTTATGTGACAACTCTCAAGCAATGCCAAGTATGCATAACAGAGGCTTAAGTCGCTCGCCGGTAGCACTAGGTCAAAAGGCGTTGTTGGCAACATTCTGGGCAATTGGGCGGCCGGTTCTGTTGGTCGACGGGTACTTATTGGATTCAGTGCAGCACAGAGACGAAAGCCGGAAACCTTACGGTACCTGCTGTGCGTATATCACGCACTTTGTAAAGGAAGATTAAAGTTTTGGGCTCAAAATTCTTCGTAGGTTTAACCACCAATACCGAAGTAGGAATATGGCATCTTTTCAGTTTCGCATACTCCGCTCGGTGATTTGGGTAGGAGGGTTCTAACGTCCCGAGTGGTTTCAGAATGAGCCCAAAATTGCCCAAAAAGTGCCTAGATGTGCTAGATGGGTCACTGACAGCCACTTCAATCTAACCTAACCTACCAAATGATCCAGAAAGCAGACACAATGTTTTATCGACGATACTGTGGGAAAAGCGGAAGCCCTCAATAAATTAGCTGATTGAGCAGTATTTACTTAAGGCCCGGCAAATTCTTATTGACACAGTTTCGCAGTTAATCCAATCACGGAAAAGACCTCAGACAAGCAAATCAATGCTCACCACTTTTTTGTCGAATTTTACGTTGGTTTTCATAGCTTCTGCTACGTTGAATTTCAAGTAACTCCTAGCGATAGTTGTTACATTGGACAGGGCAGGCAATTGAAAAGCATGTCGATAAACCAAAATGATGGCCAAAGCGTTTAACATATTTGTCTTTTTATAAAGCGCGAAGGCGTAGACAATGACGTACAAAGAAAAGAAACTTTGGGTTTCATTCGAGAGAAAAATTCTGTACAAGATCTATATGACCCTGTTTGCGTGGGCGACGTGTACCGAAGAATGTGGAATGGTGTACTATTCGATAATGAAATAGACAATATGCACTGTGACCTAACAGATCTATTGTGCCCTCAACTGTTCACCACACTTCGTGCAATCCTTAAGTCCCCAAATAGTTTGGAAGGGTGTTTGGACTGGAAGCGTAGGCGCTCATAGCTATGTAGACTTTTCTCATGTCTCCTTGAAACGGCATCCACTCAAAGAATAGGTGCAATTGTGTCGCTATGCCTGAGTCGCAAAAGCGACAGAGTTTTTTTTTTATATTTTTATTGAGCTTTGTACCACGATTGTTTATGAGGAAAAATTGAAAAAGCAACAAAGTCAAAGTCATCTCCTCATCAGACTTCTTTTTTTCTAAACTTCAGCAGGGATCGAACCTGCGAATTCGATGGTTGAATAAGGAAAATGAATTAGCAACAAGAGAATTGAATTGAATTTACCTCAAAAGGTTAATAGAGCTTTAAGTGCTGCCAGACTGTGGCTAAAGAATATCATGCTCTCATTGTGGTAATGAGCTACACCTCCTCATGTGGATTTCTACATGCACATTTATAGCTTAATCCTGGCATGAGTACATATTATAATGCCTCCTGGAGTTCCGTGTTTGCTTTGCTTCGTACATTTTTTTAATTTCTTCTCGGAAACAATAATATTTTTCATATCCTACTTGAGAAAAGTTAAACATTTAGAGAAAGTGAAGAAACTCACCGTATTTTGATGTTTTTCTAGATCAAATAATTTACAATTTCTATGGCGAAAAGAACCCTTAACAACCCCCATGCTTAATCGGTGCGCCGGTGGGATGTAAAATTTCAACAGATTGTCTCTCATGCTACTCACTAGGTGTGACTAAATAAGCGCAGCACACTGATTCTGCAGCACTGTGCTGATACCATATGCCCCAGTGACTGACAGTGGCGAAGAGATCCTTCGACTCGGCGCCCACGAGCACAATGGAAGGACTAATGGCAAAAGGAGCTGTCTCCAATTGGCACAAAAAACCTCGGAATTGTTTTAAAACAAAACCACAAATGTCCGCAACTCAAAGCTACATCTTGTACTTTTTAAAGCAGAATTTTCATAAGCAATGACATACAGTTCTTGTATAGCTACTAAGGCATCTGGTACCGGGATTCGGTATCTATGTTGTAATATATATAACATATATATGAGGCATTCTCTTTCATATCGGACACCAAATTTGGTGTCACAATTTCGATTGGCTTCATATTTTTTTTTTTTTTTCTTCAGAGATGTGATTTGTCAAATTTTGGATTTTTTGTGATTCTGACTAAATAATCATGTACTTCTTCAAATTGTTATATCTCGGGTTCTGTTCATCGTAGAGACTTAATTGTTGACTCTGACAAAATAAACCACCTCGTCATAAAAAAAAAATATTTTAAAAATAGTTCTTTAAAAACTCCAATTTTTTTGGAACTTGTTTTTTATAGAGAATTAAACATGCAGGCATGCCTCAATAGGTACCTTTATTCAAAACGAACAACAAGAATTGGGACAATAATATTCCAAAATGCTAAAAATAAAGAAAAGCGAAACTAATGATTTAATAACTATTGTTGTTTTTTTTTTATTTTATGGGGATAATTTTTTTGTTTATTTATCAAATCCTCAAACGTGCGAGGTGCACACGCCAAGAATATATGTTTGAAGAAAATTAGATTAGACTGTTTATTGAAAATTAAGAATGACAATCGCTAAGAACATAAAAAGAAAAGCAGAGTAATAAGGCAATGAGAGGGTCATAAAAATGTTGAAAGACCAGCGAGTGCAAAGGTGGGGGGAAAGCCGAAATGAGAGCATTACCACATTTTTGGCGTGTCAAAGATGCCGGAGCAGCATTCGCCTTCAAAACGCAGCATAGCAAAACAAAGATGAGCCATTTTCCGATTCAATTTCAGTTTCATTTTCAATAAGTTAAAAAGTTAAATGTAGGAGGAAACATTTTTAATTTTTTTTTGATTATTTTTATCTCCCACTGAGTGTCTGTCTATAATTTAGCAAAATCTCGGAGCAAATTGGAAATGCTTGCACAGGCGGCACCCATATGCCATATCGATAGAGAGATCTCTCTACGCGCACATACATACATACATACATACGTACACAAGTTCTTCGCAAAGGTACGCGGAAAAGCGCCACTGTCGTGTAGCAGCACTTCGGCTATCAGCCTCAAATGAGAGCTTTTCTATAGACACATTTTTCCGTTACAATTTCAGAGTGTGTGGAAACGTTCGTTTTGAACTGCAAAAATCAGAAAAGTTTTGGGCGACGGCGAGTACACACGACGATCTGCTATAGTACGGCATGAATCGGTTGGCGATCGGTTGGTTTTGAAACGTTAAAGCGAGCCCATCTATACCCTAAACGGTGGGTATGTAGCGGTGTGTTTGAATGGATATTGACTACAGTGGGCAGTGAGTGATAGGCGAAATGGTGTGGTTTCAAAAAAAATAAAACAAAAAAATAAAAATAAAAATAAAAATAAAAATAAAGAAAAATGTATGATAAAACTGAAAGAGTGAAATTAAAAGGTAAAAAAGTGAAGCAGTGAAAATTTACTTAGCAGTAAAAAGCGTTTACACAACACTTTTGCGCTGCAATCGCACGAAAATGGGCAATGAATTCAGTTTGAAAAAAAAAATTATTTTTAAAATAGATCACTTAAAAAAAAAAACTTGGCAGTAATTTAAGCAAAACATCAGCTAGATATAGTTCATAACTGGAAAATCGTGTAGTATGTCGTGAAAAAGTCGGGGTTGTACATATGTAGGTATATATCTATTCATGTATTTAAGTATACCTACAAATAGATATACATATATATATATATGTATATATATATATATATGTGTGTGTGTGTGTGTGTGTTTGTGCGCTGAAAGTGCACACAGTTTTGAAATTATTCAGCTATTTCAGTTGCTGCTTTGTGTGCTTTTTTGTTTTAATTTTCGTTTTTTTTTCGTATTAAATGGAGAGAATTTATGGTTTGTTCTAAAAGTGGAAACAAAAAGTGTGTGCTTGTTCATAAGTATGTACATACATATGTACCTACATACTTACCTACTTACAAAATTATATACAAAATGTACGCGTGATCTTGTGTGTACGCGATTGTGGCAAGCAGTTGAAAAACGTTTTTTTTTAAATAAATTGGCAAATAAACGAATCAAGAATCAAGCAATTTGAAAAAAAAGAGTGAAAGTAGCGGCGAAGGAGAATTACCTCATAGTTAAGTGAAACAAAAAAATCAGAAATCAAAAATTAATTAAATGCTCAAAAGCGAGTGTATGTATATTCGTATAAAAAATTAAACATTTTCCCAACTTGCGAAATTTGTTCAACTACCAAATAAATACACATATCCATATAGTAGATACATAGGTACTACAGAAGTATTTATGTAAGTATGCAGTTTGGCGTATTTTGAAATCGACAATAAGTGAACGTAAAAAGTTCATTGTGCCCGAAATGGGCGTGTGTGTGTGTGTTCGTCCATGATCCGGCCGTTCTAAAAACCCATACTAACACACAAATGTTCAATAAATTAATTGGCCAACAATTCTAAACAGTTTAGAGCAGCATCTGTGGCGCGACGCCTAAACCTAAACTAAACCGTTACACGATACATATACATATGTATGTGTTTTCGAAACTCACAAAAAAGCACGCGTACTGCCCTCTTCCGGTTAGCGTTCATTTCATTTGCGTGCAATTTTTGTGTTTAGAAACCCCATTGCATTTCAAATGCATTTCAAAACATTTCCAAATACTCACGATCGATCGAGCTTGTATTGAAATTTTTTTTCTGATTTCTGTCTGCCCTTTTTCGTGTGCCTTTTGGCGCTTGCTGCGTGTTTCAGTTCCGAAAATTCATAGCCAAAATACTTGGCTTTAATTTTTTTACTTATTATTTCGCATATTTCGGACTGGACGAGACGTATTTATTATCGCTTTTTGTTTTTTTGTTTTTCTGTTTTTTTTTTTTTTTGGAAATGTTCGGTACAATATGTTAGTGACCGAAATAATGGCAAACCACTCCCGTCGACGCTTAATATAAAGATACAAATACATATACATACATTAGACAGTACCAGCAAAAGTACAGTACAGTATTTTGGCAAGAAAATTTGGAAACATGTATTTTTGGAGGTAATAATTTTTGTGTTAGAAAGTTTATTGACCTCAAGTACCCCGTTGTAGTACTAACCCAACAGATCTCAGTTCTTCTCACTCTAACGTACCGCCCTAAAGTCAGAAATTAAAGCTCACCGAAAATCATAGAACTTTACAAAAGAAGACAAGCACTTTTTAAGCAAAAAACCAAACCGGCTTCAATTCTCATATAAAAATTTAAGATTATCGTTAATTTCTTCACGATCCAATTATCGGATCTAAACAAAATTAGCATGGGACCACCTTTCCGATGAAGAAAGGAATCGGTTAACGTGGTCCAAATTTATGTTAAGATGAAGAAAATGATAAACATAAAGACAAAGAGGAGGATGAGGATACCGATAAAAGTAAAGATGAAGATAGGGGAAGAAAGATTAAAAGCAAAGTAATTAAAGAGGAAAGGATATAGAGAGAGACACAGAGGCTCAATCTAGGAACTATTTTGGGATTTTAGAGATTTCCGGGTTCTCTGGTTTTATCGATAAAATAATCGATATTTTTATCAGTTTTGTTATCGATATTTTTATCGGTTTTGTTATCGATATAATTATCGATTTTTTATCAAAATTTGTATCGATATTGTTTTCAGTAATACTATCGATGTTTTCGGAACATGTCGATATAATAATCGATATTTTTATCGATACTTTTATCGATCTGTTATCGATATTTATCGACTTTGTTATCGATATTTTTATCGATTTTGTTATCGATATTTATCGATTTTGTTATAGGTATTTATCTATTTTGTTATAGGTATTTATCTATTTTCTTATCGATATTTATCGATTTTATTATCGATATTTATCGATTTTGTTATGGATAGTTTTATCGATTTTCTTATGGATATTTTTATCGATTTTGTTATGGATATTTTTATCGAGTTTCTAATAGATTTTGCTACCAATATTATTATCGATTTTGCTATCGAAATTTTTATAGAATTTTTCATCAATTTTGTTATCGATATTTTTATCGGTTGTGTTATCGATTATTTAACAGTTTTGTCATCGATATTTTTATAAATTTTGCTATCGATATTTTGATCGATTTTATTGCCGCTATTTTTATAGATTTTCTAATCGATTTTACTAGCAATATTATTAAAAAATTTTGCTATCGAAATTTTTATCGAATTTGTCACCGATTTTGTTATCGATACATTTATCGGTTTTGTTAGCGATATTTTGTTGGATGTTTGGATGTTTCTATCGATTTTGTTATCGATAGAGTATAAAGCTAAAAAATGAAGATAAAGGAAAACAGAAAACATAAGTGTAATTAGGACGAACAGGGGTTAAGGTACGGATGTAGATAGAAAAAAGACAAAAAATACATATAACCTTAAGCAAATGCAGATGTTTGTATGTAAATTGGGTATGAAACAAAATATACATGTATGTAACGTAAGTTTCACTTATCCAGTGTGGCCCAGGCGCACTTACTTTTTTTATATTTTTTTTATATTTGCTTGTAAGGTGGTACTGCCTAATATACATACGTACATCCATACTATACATCTACACACACAAGGGTGCTTGCACAACGCATTTTCCGCAACACTTTTCCAGTTTTTAAATAAAACGTTTTTCCCCACTACGCTTAATTTATTCCTTGAAAATCTATTAATGAATATGCACATGATTCCCTGCAGGAAATAAATTGAGAAACAAATTTAATCACCGATTACGGTCGTCTATATGAGTTAAGTATGTTGTTTTTTAACGCTTACCTATACTGCTGTACCTTGGACTAACTATGGTACTTCTTATTATTTATTAGTCGGCTCTACAACGGCTGCGTTTATAGGTTTTTACCAAAACCAAGCCGGCACAATCGCATTTTTATGCGTCTGTGTAATTAAACAAACTTTTCCTAAACATTATTCGTTACTGTCCAGACTTCTGCTACAACTAAAGACGGGAATGATGAGAGCTTTGTAGAAAGTTAATATCCGAGAGGCTCTATTGATTTTTAAATTGCTTGACCTTTTACGTGGCGGGTCTCAAGCCACAGCTGGGAGTCACCGGTATGTTAAGCCATCTACTTCAAGATAGACACCCGCAGGTGACCGAACGTACAGGTGAAGGAATGTTCCGCGCAGCTCTCCACATGAATTAACTGCATTTGGTCAAAGCCGACTTACCCAAATAATCCAATTTACTAGAGATGACGCAAACAAGGTCCTTATTTTTAAGAATATATTCCAAATAGAGCATTGCAGCAAATCAACCTGAATTACCTATAGTTTGGAGAGACACCTCCTGCCGGGTTGTCAGTAAATGCACACAGACAGCTTAAAAACTCACGAAGGTATTGTGGTAGCCACTTTTGGCTGCAAGGCAAAGTTTTCGGTGCCTATGGGGAAGATCTTGGCCATTGTCCAGGCGGAGGAAGCTATGGTGGACAATACATCTCTGTCGCTTTTGTTTTGGATGTAGTGGCTGACCTAACCCTATGTAGATGGTAGTCGTTGTCGTCAGACCTACGATACTAGCGATAGGTCCAGGAAATACAGTTTTGACGATGTTGGCCAAAAGTGAGGGGAGTGTTACTTTAGTGGTTTTGAAGTAGCAGGCCATCTGTAATGTGGCAGAGCGCTATTCCTGCGAAAAATTTCCTATGAGGGCCTATGCCCGCATCGGTTTGCATTTTCGAATGTAGCTATATTGGCATACATACATACATATAGCACATTTGTTTACATAACGTAAATATTTCGATTTAAGAGTTTTTCTTGAAACATCGGATCCATTCTGATTCCTTTCGTGTTGTGGTATTTTATGTATTGTTGTTTTTAATTCGAATCATAGCAAAAAGTTCGGCCGGCACTGCGATTTATAATCATCGTTGCTCCACTTTACAAAGTGTGAAAATAGTATATGTATACATACATATGTAATACAACAGAATTAATGCATACATACATACATAGGTATGTGCATACTTAGGTACATATTTATGTATGTAGATACATATAAATACGTCAGCTACGCAGTAAAAGTCTTCAAAGAAATTAATAAGCGATTGGATCGTTAATGTGGAGCGTCACAGTTTTAAATGAATGAATTTATTGCGGTAATTTGTATAATATTCATACCGTTTCTGAAAACATGGCATATAATGTTAATCATCCAACGAGTAAAGGATTCCATAATTTTTTCTTTTTTAATGTGGAGCTATCTCTATAATATAATACTCAGGGCCGATTTTAGTGAAAATATAATATACATATTATTACCTTAATTCACAAAAGCCCTAACCAATAAATATTTTATTTTACAGGGCAAGCAAAAAACATTATAAAAATAATATCAAAAACAGTTAGGAGCAGTTTCATAATGCAACACTTAAAGTTCCTTTTGCAAAAGTTTCCTTTTAGTTAAAGTGTCATTTAAATGTAACAAAAAGTGTTTTCATAATACAGTGGCAATTAAATAATAACAAAAGGTTCATTTAAATGGTAATAACTTTTATTTTTATACTCTATCGATAATAACAAAATCGATAGTAACATCCGACAAAATATCGATAACAAAACGGATAAAAATACCGATAACAAAATCGATGATAATATTGGTAAAAAAATCGATAAAA